ACACAGAAGAAGGCAATGGCAAACCACTTCTGGATCATCTGCCAAGAACGTATATGAACAGGTCCCAGTCCGAGAAAAGGATGGAAGTATCCTGTTCATATGGACCTGTCGTCAGACAGAACACTAAATAAATAATAATCACAGCTGGTATTCTTATTTAAATGTAGTTAACGAGACGTCTGACGTGTCTGATGATAATAATAATATTTTTTAATAGTATTTTGGGTAATTCTATTGGCTCAGTGAGATTGCTACTTCAAAGACGAAGTTGTGGGTTTCAGACATCGTCTTATTGCTGACATTCATGCATTGCGTGTTGAAAACCGGAATTACTGACAGAAGTTTTTAGGACTAGACAGTCTGTCAGTATCGTATGCTTCCTGACATTACAAGAAGTCACTGAGGAGTGTTCTTTCTTACCAACATTAGCTAATCAAGATAATATCCATCCAGTCCCGTCGAGAAGACGCGCTGAAGAACATTCATGGGTTTGGGGGGCGTAGAAGAAATCGCTGTTGGGGTCGGGACATTGTGAGGAACAAGGTCGACTTATTCTCTTCCTTCCACTAAAGACGTGTACAACTATATCTTGCTATCTCTCTCGCTTCAGGCTGCAAACAAACAGGAACAAATGTAAATTACCCTGGCAGCATTAGCTCCGTGATTAACTCGGGGAGAGTAGTATCTTACGCGATACCCGCCCGGCCCGTCGTATCATACGGCGCCTCCCTCCTGCTGCAGCGTCGCGGCGCTCCTCGCCTCGGCACCGCTACCACCCCCACCCCCCACGAACCACCCTCAACCCACCGCCGTGATTTTCGTTTTTCATATCGTTGCTTGGGAACTTTTGCAATTAAAACAAGCCTGTTTAATCGGGGGAAACCTCCACAAAATATTAATGATCGCTCTGATTTACAAATTAAACGTATTCACTGACGAACCGGGGAAAGCTTGGAGTTTGGAATAAGTAAATAATGGTATATAAAAAGAGCCTTAGGTTTCTCCGGCATTGCCTGCCCAGCTTGCCTTTATTCCGGGCGTGCAGAAGTTTGAGGATTTTGAAAATGCCGACGAGAACGGAGTAAAACGGGGAATTTTGGGATTTGTTAGCGTCGGGACCCCACAAAGGAATAAGGGATGAAGTAAGAAAGGGAGAGGAAATTTTTGTAAAAAAAAAAAAAACTTTAATCAGATCAGCGTACGGGATATTAAAATGCTCTGTGAATGAGAAATGTCGCGAAATACTGAAGATGGTGTCAGTTGGTCAGTACAAAAGTTTAACCACCACGATGGGATTCTTAATTACAGTCTGTGGTCCTAATTATTCTTGTCTTAGTGTTAAATTATAACGGATCTTAAAGGGAAGGGATGTGAAAATATACCCTGGATTCATGTGGATCTGGATAAAACTCAGGGACCGATTCGTGTGGTTACTACAGTGGGTCTTCGTGTGCCAAGGAAGACGAAGGATTTACTATTTGAACGACTGTTAGCTTCTCAAAGAAGACTGTCCTTCCTGAGGTATTTATTTAAATATTTTATTTGAAATTTATCTGGAACGTTTATTTAAATATTCACAAATGGTTTTCATAAGACTCATCCTAAAAATTAAATTATTTATTTGTTGATTTACGAGATTAACGAAACTAATATGTATTGAGTTTGATAATTTTGTGTGTAAACGAAGAGGGATTTTCTTTTTAGTTGAGGTTTACGGAAATTTTAGTTGTAATGTTTAAATAAATATTAGCCTGTGTGCTGGTTCCTGCGGTCGGACGTTTTTGCAATATTTTCTGTCATTAACGCATACCCAAAGGAGTTCAGATTTGATATTACTTACGCTGTGTTTTCGGGTTGGAAAATTCGAGAATTTTAACACTCAAAATCCCCGGTGGTAAATATACTTAGCACCTACTTCATTAATGAGTAATTCTTAATTTTGTATTAAAAGGTTGTTTTATGGTTCTGGCTGTAAACAGCTTTTTAGCCAATTAATCTCTGTGACAGTGAAGTGTTGTGTTTTCTTTGCGGTACGGAATGAATTCTTAAATATTATTTATACGAGTTTCGGCTTCAGTGGGTTACGATGTTTATAAAAACTATCTGTAGTGTTATGAATATATAATATTTGTAATTAGATGTCCTCGCGTCCAATTTAATGATAATTAATTACGTACAAATGCACAGATCTCGGGATTTTATCCCATAATTCGGTAAACTAAGCGGTTTCTCTCGCTCCAATCTAAGCAAGTCAACACGTGCAGTTAATTTATGTGAATCGCGGGTTCTCACCCACTAAATCGAATTATTTAAAAAAAAAATACAGAAATCCGTTGTTGATTTGCAGTGGCGTTAGCTAGGACGTGTCCTGACATCCAGAAACTCTGTAGAAAGGTCCAGATATGACTCGAGGCCCCAAAAAATATTTTTTTTTCTCGATAAAAGTAAGAAAATGTTCATAAGATAGAATAATTGCGTCATATTGTGAATCAAATATTAAATTAATTATTCGGTTTTGTCCGTCTAAACACAATTATATTTAAAAAAATTAAATTTACAAATAAGATAATTAAATTATCATTTTATGTTCCACATCGAATAATCGATTTACATTTGGAACATTTTTACAACATGTTTCGGTTTCATCGAACCATCTTCAGGTGTAAAATTATATCAATAAACTTAAAATTCAACTACAATTTCTGTTGTGTAGCTTTTTTGGTGATGTTCATATCCAGATTATTTTCATTTGAAAATTTTTAAATATAATTGTGATTAGACGGACAAAACCGAATAATTAATCTAAGAAAATGTTGTCTGTTAAGCGTCGCTTGTTACTGATAAAGGGGTCTTTATATTTTATCCGTACAGAATATCATTTGTGCCCCATTTTTGATCTGAATTGTAAACTTTTGAAGTTGAATTTTTTATTTATGGTTAACGGTAGTAGCTTGTTTTCGTGTCGGCTGTTAAGTGGGTATACAGACTCACAGAACACACGTCATGATTATAATGAAAGTCCCTTTGTTATTTATAAGATCCCATTACACAGCAAAAAGAAATGAAATTTATTTATGGTATGCGAAAAACCCTGGGCTAGAAGACTTATAGGCCGTGCGTTCCTTTATGACACAGTAGAATGAGTGATGATGAAGGTAGCAGGTTCTTATGAAACGTTGGTGAATATCTACCAGAGTATACGACGGTATAATCCCAAAGACAGACATTTTCAAGCTCCTATAACTTGTGTTGGGCAAGGCCGTGGTCTAGGCAACACGGAGTTTTCCTCCGTGGCATCCCAACAATTACTCCATTCACACACAGAAGAAGGCAATGGCAAACCACTTCTGGATCATCTGCCAAGAACGTATATGAACAGGTCCCAGTCCGAGAAGAGAAAAGGATGGAAGGATCCTGTTCATATGGACCTGTCGTTAGACAGAACACTAAATAATAATAATACCTAGAATTAGTTTAGAGATCTGTAGTAGGTTGTAAGAATCGGATTGGAAGATTTTTGAATCATATCCTAAATCCATAAGAAATAATTGACGAAAACCTGACGAGTTGAAACGGAATTTAAAGTCTTACCTTAGTGTGAATGCATAAGTGGTTTGTGATTAAATGAAATTACTTTTCGATTAAGCTATCGTTTTTCTTTTCTCAGTGCTTTTAAGTTCAACCCAGAGGCGAATGTGTCTTGTGTGTTTTGAAACGCGAATTTCTGTTTATCTGACGGTAGCGTCACCTCGTATACCATCACCCGGGCAACGCTTTGCTGTAGGAAAGTTAAGTTTTGTATTTATTTGCAAATGAGAGAAACGTTTTGTGTTTTCCATTGGTTTGGATGCTGAATGTTCATGGGTCACTGAATGTGATGGTGGTGGTGGGGGTGTCTCTAAGAAGAAGCTGTTACTCTTAGATAAAAACCCACAACATTAGATTTTATAGTTGACGGGAGGCTTAAATTTGAAGCCCCCCCTACACAAGACGTGAAGTTTGAAGGGAGAAATGAAGATTACTTGTTCTGGCTTTGAAATGGCAAGTCATTTATAAACAACGGACTGAGAAATTTTTATTTTAACTGGGATCTCTGTTTCTGTGTTTAAATAAAACGAATCTCAAAGTTGGGTTTTTGGACTAAGTAGACTTAGGAAGGAAGAGAAAAGTGGAGGAAACAGTGGGATAAGACAAGAAGAGACTAATTCTGTATGAAGCGTGTTATTCCGAAGGCCTGTCTGCTTTACGCGTTCTATTCTACTTTGCTTGAAATTCCACGTTATCAGCAATGGACCATAGATGGCGTTTGTGGAACGAAGGACGGTTTCCAGTTGCTAACAATAAGAGACGCTGTCTGTGCCTAGGATTACTGAAGTGTTCTGCTTGCGGCCCAGATCAACACTACTACTACTGCGACTCAGCTCGGTTAAAATGGAATGAATTTCCAGCGGAATGCGTCCGTCTTCCTCGTCCTATATTCCTCTAATAACCTGACTCGCTTATTCTTTGGGACAGAAAAGAAGCCTTTTATTACAACTGGTCTCATTTAGAAGGAAATTTTCGAATTTCTGGAGCTCACTTCATTTTGGCTAAGAAATGAACGTTACATAGACTCAGGACTGAATGTTATGAAAGGGGGGGGGACGAACGTTTAATCCATATATAAAATTACGGTGAGCGTGAAAACTACTTTTAACCTGAAATCGAATCTGGATGGAGAATTTTCCCCTAACGTTCTTCAAATGCATTGATGTAGAATGTGAAGAAAGAGGTTTCTGTTCGAAAAAAATAGGAATTTTCGCCAAGAAGAGGGGGGGGGGAAACGCAGTTGATGAGTAAGCTCATCAGTTTACAATTAAATTCCAAACTCAATAAGAAATATTTTTATTTATCACTTTGTTGGCTGTTAAGTCAATTTACACCTTAGTTTAATTAGTTCTTAGTATGATGATTAAATGATCGTATTTATGATGATTTTCGTTGGTTTTGGTGCCGTGTAGATTCGTCAATACATGCTAACGCTTCGGAGAAACCTGCTGTCTCCACCTTCAGAGCTGAGATCCTGAAATTTCACTAAGGAATTTGCCCTATCAGATAAATCCCGAGGAAGACAGTCGAGAGGAGAAAAGACGCTCAGTGGACACCAACTATAGACTGATGACTGTTTTATGGAATTTATCGTCATTACTGTGGTAGACGTTTCGATGGTGCTTGCTGCCTCCATCATCAGGGCGATGAATATTGCTGTCTTCTGGGATGTTGAAGGGAGGAAACCAACTGAGTGTAATTTGGATAATAATATTAAATTGGATATTAAAGCAATAGGATGTGAAGGTGTGGACTGGAGTTAATATTTTTTGGTATTCTGTACGATGTACGGATTCTGACCTCTGGTGAAAAGTATTTTATTCGTAGACCGAATATTAAGTACGGCTTATATTCAAATGTATACGTCATATTGCGTAGTGTATAACGAAGTGAAAATTTTTTAAAATGTAGGCCCTTTTTTTTTCATAATAAGCGCATTTAGGGGTTTAATATTGATTTTTAGTTAGGGTAAGCGAGTTGCGATATGAGACATGACGTGTAGCGCCAACCTTCGTCATGCATCTGAACTGTCACCCACTCTCGTTTTAATTTTAATTTCTGCCAACTCCCCCCCTCTCCCCTCCCCCATTTTTTTTTGAACTTCCCCTCAGATCGCACGATGAAAGGAAGTCAAGAATTGTGATGCAAGTTTCGTATCAACTTCTTTTCGAAGTCGAATCTGGTTAAATGAGTGAGATTCTAGGAGAAATATTAAGTTCGCCTTTTTTAAAAGAAAAGCCCCCCCCCCCCTAGGTACACTTTCGTTTTGTATGGACACAAAAGTGAAAGTTTTTTCTGTAATTTTTCATCAAGCATGGAAATTTTATTAATATTCAAGAACCATACATATGCATTACATTTTTTTTTTATCCTAAGCTGTTACAGAATACGGTAACCAATATCGGGGGGGGGGGAAGGGGTGGATTCGATATTATATGAATATCAATGCTTTAAAATGCCACCCTCTTTATTCGTCACGTAGCCCATGGTCTCAGAAACAACAGTTAAGAGCCGCGCTTTGATTTTTTTTTTAAAAAAACTTATTTGCTTTGTTCAATGAACATGCAGCCGAATTCGATAGCGAAGATATTATAAAAAACACTGTTAATCCAGATTTCTGAGATTTTTAGATTTTCGTAACGATGAAACTGTAGGATTTTTGTCTTCTAGGTTGAGAATCCGTTAAGAATAACTGAAATATTGGTAACCGCTACAAAAAAATATATGACGTCACATCCGGAAGACATTTAATTATCGTTTATAAAGCTTTGTGTTAATTTTTCTATGGTTGATATTGTCCATTTTCTGATAAATATTTTGTGCAGATATACTCGACGTTTCGGGAGTATTCGTGTGAATGATAATTCATTAAATTTAAATTATTATTTATAATTTATTTTATTTTTATTTTTTTTTTGGAATCGAACTGGCAGCGTTTTGAACTATTACCTAGTACACTAACTACAAGGCAGTGGGAAATACGACATGATAATTTATTAGTCTCCGAAAACGTCGAGATGAGCACGAGTGTTTAACTGACAAAAGATTTACTCAGGAGTGATGACTTGTTATTGTAATAGTGGTACTACTTTTCGCTCTGAAGTTAATTTATGGGTATTGAACGGCATGTATATGACAATAATGTGATGGTTGCTCAGAACGTATGGTTCTCGTTTTTTCAAACCCATTCGTCTGAAAACTTGGTTGGCTGATCTGCAGAATTCTCGCGATTGTAACCCGAAACATATTAAGTTATACGTACTACTCGCACTTAGGACTTTGATCTATTCACTGGACTTGTTCGTGGCGCGGTGGAAGAGGTTATCACGTGGTGAGAGTTGAACCAACCAGCGTCAGTCAGTCTTGTGTGTTGCTACAATGAGGTTTATCCTTCTTCGCGTTAATTTGCTTGTGTTGTGTTTCAGGTAATTACTTCGATCTGGTAGTGTATTTTGTGTTATGTAAGAGCAAGGACACATCATTTTACGCACAAAAGCTTGAGACTTAGTTGTGAAGGTGTTTAAATGTGTAAAGCCGTAGGTTGAGAGTGGCGAAGCTGGGGGTTCAGTGTTGCCAAGTTGGAAGATAGCTCTGTCGATGTCCGGTGTTATTATTATGGCAGTGCAACGAATAATTCTTAGCGAAAACGCAGGTGGTCGTGGACAGTTCGCGTCTCCTCTACCAGGACGACGACTAAAAAGGAGTATTCTCAACAGGAGTATGTGTGTATGTATATAATATAGAGAGTGCATGTTCTCGTGGTTTGTGGCTACAAAACCTTGTTTTCAAGGCCGTTTTCCTGTGTGTCCATGTCAGTTTCTTTACGTATCTTGTTTTCAAGGCCATTTTCTTGTGTGTCCATGTCAGTTTCTTTACGTATTTCGATACCCAGTCTTCGAACTTCTTCTTTTTATTCACTGTATTTCAACTTCTGTCTTTATCAATTCATCCTGGATTCCTTCTGGCCATCCAAGTTCCTGTTGTCTGTATTTACCAACTGCAGCACATTTATATTTGTATGGCCAGTGATAATGAATTACAGATTCGTATATCAGTTCATACGTAAAATTTGGGCAAAATTATAATAAATGTTCAGCAGCCTTGAACAAGTGCGTTAACTAATAGGAAGTTGTTTTTTTTGTAGTGCCCCTGCAAACGGCCCAGTAAGTGTTCAATAATGCCAGTTTAGCAACAGCACAGCTATTAGCTTTCCGCTTTCCTCTTCATGAGGTCACGGATTCGAATCTCGACTTATATATATTATCGGTCATATATACGCTTAAATGTGTCGATTTATTAAAGACGTAAATCTATTATCGCCTAGTGAAAAATAATTTTTTTCAAATTGAGTAAGCCTGGCGGCTTTTAATGAAAGTATATTTAGTTTAGAAGGTTTCAGCAGCTTTCAGTAATTCGGTTGGACAGATTATCACAAAATGACACGCCTGTGTTATTAACACGTATGTGTCGGATGGTTTTAAATTTATCAGGTTGGTACTCAACTACAATCGAAGATGGCGTGTTGAGAAAGGGCGGCTTTGAAGCTTTGTGTGCAAAAATATGTTTTCTGGTGTTTCATAGACGTTTTTACAGCCACATTTTATCAACATTTTTAATTCAAGACTTGTGATCAGTTTATTGGTACACATCTCCAGTGAAGACCTCGTAAGTAAGTCACAATTAATACTTGTTACTTCGATCACTGTTGCTTGTTTTTTTTAGATTATGGTTTGGAGGACAATTGCAGCCAACTTCGGGGTAAATAACTTACTAGGCTTGTGTGTGAACTCTTTACATTGATCTGACAGCAAGACTGTTTTCCATTGTTAGTCGATATGTTTGCTTGCTAATAATCGATTTAGTGCCCTCATAAATCATTATGAAGAAGTTTACTCTGACTACATTTTGAAATTGATTACGTGAATGTGTTCTTGCTTTGTTATCAACAGAAAGGCACTGCTTTTACTGTGTTACATTGTTGTTTCCTGTTCAGCTCATTTGTGCCTAAAATGTTGTTATACATGAAAAAAATGAGTTGTTATGCAATCTTTATTGGAATACGTAATAGTAGTAGTTCATGAGATGAAAGTAAGTGTGCCATTTTACCTAGGACCTTGGTTCAAAATGATAATGTGTAGGTATTTAAAAAATAAATTAAAAATGCCCACGTGAAGACCAGTTCCATATGTACCATTTATTTTTGCATGAAGTCATACATTCGGAGGTCAATGCAAATTTGTTAAACCGATTTATTATCACTGCGGGCACTGTGTAAGGAACCGGTCGGCCTAAATTCTAAAGTGACAGCAACCTAAAATTAATTCACTTTCTTAAGTCGTGTGGCTTGTTCCGACCTGTTTGCTGGAATTCGCATAAGGCTTTTCGACGTAATGATTTTTGAGGAACCATGACAACTGTCTACTTTGAAAACACGCGAACAGGAGTGACAAGAGATGGCAGTGTGAGTCTCGTATTCCGGAACTGTCGTAAATCATAGCCTCCCAGCGATCATCACTGCCTCAACCAGGAAGTCAGGGCGGCGAGTGGAAACTCCCACTACATTTCCCACGGAATTATTTCAGTTATTGCCAGTAACAACAGATTAACTGCACCCGGTCCTTGAACATACACTCGTAACATTTTAAGGCTTCATTATCAAAATTAAACATAATCTCTCTCTCACACACACACACACACGTGGAGTTTGTTAATCGGTTTTCTTGGTTTTTTATTCAGCGGTGCTGAAGGGAAACGTTCACTGGAGAAACCTATTAATACTTGAGAGGATAATATTAAAATGGAGAAATATGAGTTATGAGAATGTGGACTGGTTTTATTTGGCTCAGAATATAGAGCAGTGCAGGGTTTCTGTGAACAGGTTAATTAATTAACCTAAAGGTTACATGGAACGTGTGTAATACATTAACCAGCTAAGCGACTGTGAGCTTCTCAGTTAGGAGTCTGTTGCATTTGGTATCATGATTTTAAAATATTGTTTTTAGAAGTTCTGTGTCAGAGATGAAATTAAAAGTCTGTATGATTTCGCTTTATGAAATTAATTACGTCACTACCTCTTTCAGATAAACTTTCAGCCCACTTTTTTTCTGACCACAAAGAAGACCCATCAGTGTTTTGTTGTATAAACACTGGCGTCTGACCTATTCTGCGTCACGTTCAAACCAGCATCGTGAAAACGTACGTGTCTACGGCTAGTATCTGATTCGTACTCCGTTTATAGCCGTAGAGTAACGTTTGTCAGCTGGTGTACATGCACAGTACACGATAAACCAAAATACTTTTGTCAGTTCTAACCAAACATTTTCTAAAAAAGACGAACGTAAGCATCAAATATGTATATCTGCAGCTCGTATTACCCTGAGTGCTCTTATTTTGACAGTTTCTTAATCTATCGAGGATTAATCGACCTTGTGTATCGATTTACAACTACTTCTGAAACGACTGTATGTCGGTGAGTGGTAGAACGTGACGTAATCAAACACATTTGACCACCTCTGATTTCGAAGCTCGCGTAAATAACGTTTAAGAGTTAAAAGTCCGTACCGCGAAGAAAACACTTTACCGTTACAGAGACAAAGTGGTTAATTCTGTTTAAGGGAATTATAACCATTTATTCTGAGAATTATGTGATCGTAGTTGGCAAATATATTTACCACTTGGATTTAAAGGATTAAACGTGGGTATACAATATTCATACACCTATCGGGGATCCAACACGCAATGCGGTCCATGACTTTTAGATTACTCCCTCGTTGCTATAAATTAAGAATCATTTTCAGGACTTAAGTGAGGCTTTTGCAGAGAAAATTCTTACCGTGACCGCGTAAGTTGAAGTCTGTTGAAGATAAGTCTGTTTATTTATTCCTACGATACGATACGAAACGTAGGTTTAGGTATGTTTTAATTTATATTTGAATGACGTATCAGATACTCACATTTTCTCTGTCAGTAAAGTCACAGTAATGAAGTGTTCGTTCTTTTAGTAAACTCTGAATAAAAACTCGACCGGAATATAAAAAAAAAAATGTCTCTGAAATA